GGTCAGAGGACTTGGAGACACCTAGGACCCAGGGGAGGGGGATGGAGTGGGGTCCTATGGGAAGGTGAGCCAGGGGGAAGTTGGGGACATTGGAGACCCTTGGGCGGGAGGGGTTTTGGGGTCTGGTGGGGGATTGAGGGGCAAGGCTGGGACATGAGGACACCTGGAACCCGGGGGAGAGGGCTGGGGGAGTTCTGCTGTCTAGAGGGGACGTTAGGGGTCTCAGAGCCAGGGTAGGGCTGGTTTTGAGCCCTGGGGGACACTGTGGGGGGCAAAGGGGGGTCCTGGAGAGCTGGGGGAGTGCGAGGATGGGGAACTGGGCTGGACCCCCGAAGGGTGCAGCAGAGCAGAGCTGGGGCAACCCCACTTGTGGTCATGGTGGTGTTACTGTTGATGGTTGGACTTGACTATCTTAAACATGTTTTCCAACCTTTATATTTCCATGGGTTTGTGATTCCAAGCTGCAGAGAGCTGCTTGCTGACCTCCCTCTTCTTTCACTTCTCTTTCTCTTTCTTTTCTCCCCAGGAAAGTGAGGATGGCATTGAGGGAGATGGTGAGTGATGACTTTGAGGCAGTTTGTGTGCTGAAAAAGAGAAGATCAGACAAAATGCTTTTCACAGAAATTCTGTGGTTGTTGTCATTCTAAGTACTCATTTGTAGCGACAAACAAACGTGGTGTGCAGGGGCAGCACACTCCACACTTGTCCTTGCTGCCACCTGAGCTGGTCTTGTGACAGTGCTGTCTCCAGGCTCCGTGTGGGAGGTGTGGGGACAGTGGGAGAGGAGCCAGGTGTGCCCTGCCCTGACCCATGTCCTTCCCTCCCTGCAGCTGTGCTCTCTGACTACGAAAGCGCCGAGGACTCGGAGGTGAGAGCTGCTCTGTTCTCTGACCTACTGATCCTCTTGGAATCCCAGCACAACCCCCAGTCTGTGCCCCTGGATCTCTTCCCCTGACGCCTCTGATTCCTAGGAGATGTCCTGTCCCAACCCCTGGGCTGTCCCTGTGCTGCTGGGGGGGTGCAGGGCCAGTCTGTGCCAGGGAAAACCCTTCTGGCTGCCCAGACATCGGGAACAGGATTTGCCATGGCTGGGAAGGGTGTGGAAGGAGTTTGGGATGCTCCTTGGGTTTTAATTAGTGGAAATCAAAAAGCAAAGTGATTGTTTGGAGCATCCCAGGAGTTCTCCAGGAGCATCCCAGAAGTTTCTCAATGTTCTAGGGGAGCACTGGAGAATTGATACACCCTGAGAGTTGGGAGGTACTGGAGGAATCCCACTCCATCCATGCCGGCAGTTTTCCCTGGATTTTTAGTTCAGAACTAAGCTTTCCAGCAAGTTCAGAGTAGTTTTGGTTTCTGAGAATTACAATGAAGGTTTTCTAGGGAAAATTTATCTGTTTTGGGAATGTTGAGGATGGAAAACTCACAGAACATCAGGCAGAGAGAATCAAAGATGCCAATTTTGGAGTTAATCCCAATTTAGGAGTTAATCCTTGCTATGAAGAAACACACAAGGCTGCAGAGGGACACAGGGAGGGGATGGGGCAGCTCCCAGAGCTCCTCCAGCCTGGAAACCCACACGGAGGCTCCCGGTGGCAGCAGAGTTATTGCATCACCATCGTGCCAGGATGACTCTGTTCCTGTGCCTAAAAATAGTGCCTGGGCTGGGATTCCCTGGCAAAAGCCCTGGGAGCAGCCCGTGAGCAAACACTGGGCTGGGAGAGGAACTGGGAGGTTTGGGTAATCACCCTGAGCTATTCTTAGTGAGGCTGCAGAGCCTCCCGGGGTGAGGGCAGGTCATCTCCTGGGCACAGGGAGGAGCTCAGCAGCTCCAGGGCCTTGGGAAGTGTGGCCCTGGCTGGGTCAGGCCCTCGGAGAGGGAAGCAGCTCACCTGAGTGGGGGTGGCAGTGCCTGGTAGGGCAGGGAAAAGCTTTCTGCTTGCCACTTCCTCTTCACAGTCCCTGCCCAGTGCCCTCAGTTCTTCCCAGTGCCATCCCAGTCCCCTCCCAGTGCCCTCAGTCTCTTCCCAGTGCTCGCCCAATCCCTTTCTCAATGCCATTTCAGTCCCTAGTGCCATCCCAGTCCCCTCCCAGTGCCCCTTGTCCCCTCCCAGTGTCCTCAGTCCCTTCCCAGTGCTCTCCCAGTCCCTTTCTCAATGCCATCTCAGTCCATAGTGCCATCCCTGTCCCTTCCCAGTGTCATCCCAGTCCCCGCATCTCAGTCCCTAGTGCCATCCCAGTCCCTTCCCAGTGTCATCCCAGTCCCCTCCCAGTGCCCTCAATCCCTCTGCAGTGCACCTGGTTCTGTGATCTTTGACTTCAGACACTTTGGTGTTTGACCATTAAGTTTTGATCTATTGGCCTTTGAACTCTGACCCTTCGATCTTCAATTCTTTGGTCTGTTGATGTTTTACATTTGGCCTTGACCTGGTGATCTCTGACCCTTTGACCTCTAGAGCTTTGATCCCTGACTCTTGATGCCTTGAGCTTTGCTCTCTGATCCTTGGTCTTTGGACCATGAACTTTTGGCCTTAATTTTCTGCCTTGGAAGAGTCAGGTGTAACAGCTGGAACAAGGATCTCATGCCAGATGTGAGGGGAATTCCTGAGGGATCCACTGCTGGATCTTCCTTCAGATTTGGGGATCTTCCTGGGCAACGCGTCCCTAACGGAGCACGTCTGAGTCCCTGTGTGTCTGGCAGGCAGAGGAAGAGGACTACAGCGAGGAGGAGAGCTCCAAGGTGGAGCTGAAGCAGGACAGCAATGACTCCTGCGAGTCAGCGGCGCGGGCGGAGAAGGGGGATGAGAAGGCCGAGCCCAAGGGAGCAGTGACCGGCGAGAGGCAGAGTGGGGATGGACAGGTGAGTGTCCCACAGCACTGCGTGGGGCTCTGCCAGCAGCACTGCTGCAGGGTGAGAGCTCCTGCTTCTGGCAGGAGAGCACGGAGCCCGTGGAGAACAAGGTGGGGAAGAAGGTGCCCAAGCACCTGGACGACGACGAGGACAGGAAGAACCCTGCGTACATCCCACGCAAGGGGCTCTTCTTCGAGCACGACCTGCGCGGGCAGACGCAGGAGGAGGAGGTCAGGTATGTCAGTGTCCCCCGGGGGCTCTGGGGGAGTGAGGTCAGCTCCTAGGCCACTTCCCAGGCCACTTCCTTGGCTAGCTCTCGGACCACTTCCCAGCCCAGCTCCTAGGCCACTTCCCAGGCCAGCCTCTGCCAGCCCCCAGGCAAGGTTCCAGGCCACTTCCTGGGCCAGCTCCTGGGTCAGCTCCCAGGCCACTTCCCAGGCCAGCTAATGGGCCAGCTCCCAGGCCACTTCCCAGCCCAGCTCCTAGGCCACCTCCCAGGCCACTTCCCAGGCCAGCCTCTGCCCACCCCCATGTCCCAGGCCACTTCCTGGGCCAGCTCCTAGGCCAGCTCCCAGTCCACTTCCCAGCCCAGCTCCTAGACCTGCTCCCAGTTCTCTTCCCAGGTCACCTCCCAGCCCAGCTCTTTGCTTCACTGGGCTTAACTGTGAAGCTCTGAGGTTCCCTTACCTTCTCACAGTGTCCTGCCAGGATACTTCAGCTCTTTGTTTTGAAGGAGTTGCACAAGCACCCACAAACAAAGCCTCGTGCCAGGCAGCACTGGCCCTTCTGCTGCTCTTCCCACATGGCAGTGTGTCACCAGCAGCTGCTGGGCAGGAGAGGCAGGAGGGAGGGATGCTGCTTCCTGGGCATTCCCTGCCACAGGAGTGCTCAGTGTGTGTGGGACTGCTCAGGCTGCCACGTCTCGACTTCACAACTCCCTGTGTCCGTGTTCCAGGCCAAAGGGTCGTCAGAGGAAGCTGTGGAAGGACGAGGGACGTTGGGAACACGACAAATTCCGGGAGGATGAACAGGCCCCCAAGACCAGGCAGGAGCTGATTGCTCTGTATGGCTATGACATCCGCTCGGCTCACAACCCTGACGAGATCAAACCCAGGAGGATGCGCAAACCACGGTGAGCCCAGAGCCACACCAGGGCCTGGAGGGCCTGGGAGGGACACAGGTCTGGAGCCCCAAAGAGGGAAAGGCCTGTGTGGGATTCCTGGGATTGCTAGGCTCTGCATAAGGAGGGTTCTCTGGAGCAGCAATTCCATGGTGAGCTCCAAATCACACCGGGGCCTAGAGTGTCTTGGGGAGTACATGGGTCTGGAGCCCTAAAGAGAGAAAGCCCTGTGTGGGATTCCTGGGATTTCTAACTCTGCTTTAGAAGGGTTCCCTGGAGCAGCAATTCCATGGTGAGCTCCAATTCATACCAGTACCTGGATTGTCCTGGGGTGGGAATGAGTCTGGAGCCCCAAAGAGGGAAAGCCCTGTGTGGAATTCCTGGGATTGCTAGGCTCTGCATTAGGAGGGTTCTCTGGAGCAGCAATTCCATGGTGAGGCTCAGATCACACCAGTACCTGGATTGTCCTGGGGTGGGAATGAGTCTGGAGCCCAAAAGAGGGAAACCACGTGGTGTGTGATTCTTGGGATTTCTAACTGCCTTAGAAAGGTTCCCTGGCACAGCAGTTTCTCCCACCCAGGGATTTCTTCCCAGCTCCTTACGCTATTTCCCCTGACAGGTTTGGGAGTCCTCCGCAGCGAGACCCCAACTGGTCCAACGAGAGGCCCAGCAAGCCCCCGAGGCACCAGGGCACAGAGGCCCCCCCACGCACCTTCAGCAGCCGCAGCTCGGCAGGCACGGGCAGGATGCCTCCCCCCAGGGGCTACCCGCGGCCAGGGGGCTACAAGGACACCCG